CTAAGGTGAGTTAGGGCTTATATTGTACAATATGTAAAAGCTTAAAAGATAGGATAGAGATTTATGTCGCGCTATGCAGACCACCTCGAAGTCCTATGACTTGTTATTTAAACTAAAGAAATGGTTAACTACTGTAGACTTGTTTTACTGTTGTAAATCGTCATCCTCTATTTTATACGATTTCATCGTGCTGCCCATAAAGACTTGCTCCATGCTTCATGTCGTAGCAGTTTCGTGTATAAGGTTTAAAGTGTACATGAAATTGTTGGGTCAGTGGTCTGCCGCGGTGTATCTCCTAGCATATGTCCTACTGATCTCTATCCTAAGGGCTCTTGCATGTATATTAAAGTATGCACAAGTAAAACATATAGAGTGTAATAAAAAAATGAAGTGCAGTAAAGGAAAAGCAACAGTAAAGAAAAGATTGTAAAATGTACAGTAAAGAAGAACAATGAAATTTGCAGTAGAGACGATAAAATGCTGTAAATATAAAATAAACCTATGTACTTATTGGGTTTGCTGCTCCTGCAAATGCGGTTAGTGCTGCAGTTAAATGTAAACGGGTATATTGAATAATTTAGTAGGTGGGACAAACATGCATGTATATGTAAGAACAAGAATCAAGTGGTACGTGAAAGAACAAGTAATGGGTAAAAGAACAAGTAAACCATAAAAAAAAATCGAAGTGAACTATATAAGAATTCAAGTTCATGGGGCTCAGATTTTAACATTCTCGAAGGAATCCAAATGCAACTATCGGTCATCCATCTGTATAAAGTCCATATATAAAGCCCGACATTCAACTAGAAATTTTCAAGACAATCTTAGGAGGGCAATTCTTAGCCCAATATAGGTAATTGACAAGTGGACGATTAGATTATATCATTTAAAGCTTGTGGTTTGTCATGCATATAGACAAAAATATTTATCTTTTACTTAACAATGGAAAGTATTTACGTTATAAAGAAAATATATGTCATATCGTCATATTATATATCGTCATATTTGTATATTTTGTAAAATAAATCTTCCACGAGTCGATTATACTGTCAGGTTAGGACCGCCAACAACCTAAGAAGATAAGAATCCTCGCTAGTCTAGTGTCGGTAAATAATATTGTCATCCTACATTTCATTGGATCTTTAGGTTAAGTCCCGATACCGTATGATGCAACATTATTATGCTTTATCACCGGATGTCTTTGTCATCGCGGCTCTTAAATCCCAAAAAAAATCATCAAACTTATAGTCTTGCTTGATGGTTCATATATAGTCACGTCTATATATGCGCACTTATATTTCAAACATAAGCACTTAAATCAAACTAAGAAGAAATGAAAGAGAAGAAGAAAAATAGGGTGAGAAAGGAGAGGGACTAATCCACCTGAAAGAGAAGAAAGTGAAGGGTAGGTCAGCTCTCAAAACCACATCTAAAACAATTCCTTGTTTCCTAACATCCAGTGATATGAATTTGAAGAGCTCATTTAAAACTTTCAATATACCAATATTACAAAGTACACAACTTAAGTCCCTCCCGAAATCAATATAAGACACCAATAATTCTCATGTAAAGGCTGTAGAGAAAGTGAGGAATGAGAGGGGGCAAACTTAGTACAACAAAGGAAAATTATGGGTTCACGGTCGGGTCTGCAAAGGGAACAAGAATATCACAAAGATCTCTGCAGAAAACACCTCTAAAGCCACGACTAGGGCAGCAGGGGAACAAGAACATCACAAAAGTATTCACGGAAAACGGATCCCAAAAGCCCACGGCCAGGGACAATAGCAAGGAGCAACATCTCAATGGAAAAAAATCACAAAATCCTCATAGGAAGCACCTCTAAAACCAGGGAGTAAGGACCGCAGTGGGAACATCTCAATAACAACCAAAAGCTTCACTAAAACAATGTTCAAGGAAGCCCGAAACATCATTTTTTAAGCAGCAAGACAACTCTAAAAACTGTGGCCTGACAGGTCGCAAAACAGCCCCCATATTCCCCAAAACCGTAGCTCCAACCACAGGCAAGAGCCCCTCCAAAACAACAGCCAAACATCACCACATAAAGCCTCCACTGCAGCTCAAAATTGCAACCAAACATTGGGCAAATCAGCTTTAAACCGCAGCAAGGCAGGCCTCCTAAACCACGCAAAACTGCAGTAAACCAAGCTACCAAAAAGGTCTCAAATGCAGCCCAAAATAATGCTCAAAACCTTTCCAAACAACATTCACATAAGGCCCAAGACTGCAGCCATATGCACCACCAAATCAATCCAGGAAAAACTCCAAAAAACCGCATGCAAACGGGCCATCCAGCAATCATCAAACCGCAGTCAAGCAGGCCTTCCAACCATCCCAAAAACACATGCATACAGGCCAGCCAGCAATCTTACCCAAAAACGCATGCATACAGGCCAGCTAGCAATTCAATAACTCAGCCGAACTTACCAAGAATTCCAACTCATATGAAACCGACAAAGTTGCGAGGTTGTCGCAAGTGAAGCATTTAAAACTTAGGATCCCCCACATTCGAATGCATTGAAGTTTCAAAATTATATAAACGAGGCTATCAAAATCTCGGCTCTTTTACAAACAAAGATGTCACAACCTCAAATCTCCCATTTCTTTCTTCTTCTTTTTTTTTAAAAAGGAATACCAAAGCCTTATGAATTATTTTTTAAAAGGAACACCCAAAGCTTCCAAATCTTTACACCTAAACATGTTGAAGCCCTTCCAAGTTCTCAAAATAAGACCCCAAAAAATTTTTAAGTGCAGCAGGAAACAAACCCAACCGACCAGAAGAAAAGAAAGGAAAATACCAACATAGCTCATAGGTAGAGACAGCACAGCCGCAACTAACAAATAAAGAAGCCACAGCCGCAGCCAACAACAAAAGGGCAGCAAAAAGAGTATGGGAAAAGTTCCGGACTTATCCTTCAAAACATTCCAAAATAGAGTTGAAATAAAGACTTAAATGCTTCCTCAAAAATCGGCAAAATAAGGAACAGGCAAAGCTCCAAATCCTTCTCAAAAACTATCAAAATGAAAACCCACATGAGCATTTAAACAGTTATTCTGGAAACCGACAAAGTAAGGAGTAGAGGCGAGTTCCACAATCTTCTCCAAACATCCAAAACGAAAGCATGAATAAGCATTTAAACCTCCTGTCAAAATCAGCTACATAAAGAGCAAAGGAGAGCTTCAAAACCCTTCTTCATACCACCAAAATGAGAGCTTAAATGAATATTTTAAGCATTATTCTTTTAATCAGCCAAATGGGGAGCAAAGAAAAATTCCAAAAAACTACTCTAAATTCCAAATCTCTTTCCAATCATGCCAAAGTGAGAACATGTATACCTATATATATGCTTTAGCGAAACAGTGAAATAATGAGCAGTTAACAGGTATCCGAATTATTTTAAGATGGCGACCAAAACTTGCTCACTATGGTAGATCAAATGAGAATGGTATCAAATAAACTAAGCATAGATCTTATAAATGCCAAGAGGCTTTATTCTGTCATGAAACTAACAGGCAAGCAGGAATTTCAACTTCAAACTGCATCAATAAGCAAAATTTAGGTGTTTCTCCAAATGTAAAGAAAAGAAAAAATAGAGCACAGATCAAATGTAGGTGCAGTCATAAGGCATCATTATTCACTTCAACTCCATCATCACTTGAAACCAGTTTAATACAGCTAGGAAGTTCTACGAAACGGCACATACCCTTGTCTTGCTTTTTTTGTTCAAGAGAAACCAAGAAAACCAAACACCAAACACACCATGGCAGAACCAACCAAGAATAAAACCATCAGGAATTTTGGCAGCACCTTCCCTTTGCACCAAAATTTCAACAACAGAAAACCTCCCCCAAGTGTGGTCATTTATAGCCAAAAGGGGAGAAGAAGCTTTAACTTCATTTACTGGGGGGTGAATTGGGCCAAAGGGGACAAGAAAGTGGCAACGACGACGCAAAGGGCAGTTGGCGACAGGGAGGGTGGCGAGCAGAGCAGGGGACGTGGATATAGAAGGCTTTTCGTGGGGGCACCTCGGGCCGAACTCTCATGAAGATGGCTCGATCGTAGCCGATCGCGGGAGAAGGAGGACCGGGCTCGGGAGGAGTCGCGACTGGGAAGAAGAGGGGGCTGCGCGGGGTGCGTGGGCGTGGTGA